TTGCTTCTGGAACTTTTTTTAAGGAAAAAAAAATCAAACTACCTTCAAGGAAAAGTTCTAATACAAATTTGTTGGTCATAATGTGGAGTCTACTAAACTAAGGTCTGCTGAGTCTGTTTAGTGGCCTAGATACCCTACCCTTCATTTTTAAGTTTAAAACACCAAGATAATATTTCCCTGTGATAAATAAAAAACCAGGCCAAATACAGATTGCAGAAAACATTGTATCAATATCTATAAACAAGGTTTATGATCATTTTATTACAATAAAATGATAATCTAAGTATGAAAAGGCTAAATATCCTAAAACTAGTTATAAGATAAATTATCTCTTTCCATAAAAAAAATTTGAGGGTCCTGCATTTAGCTAGCTATCGAAAACTGAGTAATGCATCCAAAAAATCAGCAAATCCTAAAATTTTAAATTGGACTATAAGAAAAATATGAATCTTTAATTAATATATTTCTGGAATATTCTTATTAGCACTGTTTAGGTTATCCTTTGAAATTTCAGTAATCATAGCAAAATAAAATGTGATTAAATAATAAAGTCTGCTAAAATGCAAATAACTGAATGCATGTATCTGTACATATTTACACTTTGATGGCTAAGAGAAAAGGTTGAGATCCCCCTTCACAATGTATTGGGATTTGAAACTAATCATTCCTGGCATATACATCTCTGAATATAGTTATTAAATGATGATCTAGGCCTATTCTCATTCCCTATAAGCTTTCCAAATTGCCACCATCTCTGATGTTATAGAAGGGGCACCCCTGAAAATATTACTGACACATAAGCAAAGATCCTACTCATTTTATATTGTATGGCACGTCGTAGTGATGTAGAAGCGTTGCCACCAACACCTTTAACTATATATCTAGACATACAGAAGCACATCCGAGTCTTGAATGCTCACAAAATATACAAAGCTGCATAGTATCAAGCTACTTGGATAAAAGGAATGTTAAGTACATATGACTTGATATGTCAGAAAAATATATTTTAAAAAACAAGTACAAATGAGACATGGCAGGAAATTATTAAAAGCACAGATTTTCCCCGACTCAAATAATAAGCTGATAATGAATCAGACAGAAGTTTTTCATAAGTTTCCCAGTGTTTTGCTAGTTTTAAGCTCAGTATTCTAGGTTACAGAAAAACAAATATATAGACATGGGCGATATTATATGACCTTATCTAGAGTACAAATAACCCGGACAGTATTTGTTTAAAATACTGTCTGCCCTTATCACTATAACAGAAGCTCTAAATATTTCTTATTTGTATCATCTAATAATATGTATAAAGTCTAGACATACTCTTAGATGATACCTTAGCATTAATAATTGACGTTGTAAATGACTGAATTAAGACAACAAAAATGGAGATCTTTTAATACAAGTTTAAGAGTAATGAAATATCCATGGTTGTATTTTAAAGCTTAAGGGAAAGAATATATTAATCTGCAAGAAATCTTGAATTTTACTCACTAGAATTAACTTACCATATTTACAAATTTATTCCTATTAATTTCCCAGAAAACTGCTATAGAAGACATATCACTTACATGTTTGTCAAACATAAAAAGACAAATAAAAGCACATTTCTGAAAAATAGTATTTATTTTGTTTGTCCAGTTTAATAATGCCATAAGATTACAAGTGAACTTGACTTGTATATTTTACTTAAAGAAATAATCACAAATTGATTTTTTTGTTATTTTTTTAACTGCACAGACTTTAACTATCTAAATAAATTCTACTTTCTTCTAGGGCAAATGTCTTTTTTGGAAATAAATGTATAACTTGACTATATTTTTTGTTACTTTTTTCCTGGATGCATGCTTAGTCAATCAAATGAGCAGTTCTTAAAGTTAAATTTAAAGTGGACCAAATTAAGATTCCCATAGTATTGATTTCTTCTTGATGTAATTCAAAATGTGTAAACTGCCACTCAAAATAGAAGTGCAATACCTGACATGTAATCATTTGGCAGCCTTTTAGATATAGGAGAATTACTGCACTGTTATTTGAACTGAAGCATCTCAATATATATGTAACAGATTTTGTATGATACAAAACTTTACAGCAAGCTCTTTCATTGTTTATTTTAAAAAATCTCAAAATGACATGGAAACATGTTTACTGTATAAATAAAAGCACTTATACATTAAGAGTGTACATTATTTAATAATTCACATCATAAGAAAACTGAGTTACCAAGCACAAATGACACTATATTCATACTGCAACCCTGTTCATCATAAAACTATTTAATCTTTACTTTAGTAATAAATGTTATTTACATCAGTTATGTTGAAAAAGCACAAAAAAGTGAACTACATTTTAGTATAAAAACTCCAGTAAAACATTCTCTATGACTAATTTTTGTTTGTTTTTTTGTTTTGAGTTGGAGTCTCACTCTGTCGCTCAGACTGGAGTGCAGTGGCCGCTCCCGGCCACCAAAGCCTCGACCTGCTGGGCTCCGGCAATCCTTCTGCCTCAGCCTTCCCAGTAGCCGGAGTTACAGACATGCGCTACCACACCCGGCTGATTTTTTGATTTACTGTAGAGATGAGGTCTCGCTGCCCAGGCGGGTCTTGAACCCGCGGGCTCAGGCAATCCACTCACCTCAGCCTCCCAAAGGCGTGGGATTACAGGCTGAGCCACTGAGCCCGGCAGTCTATGCCTAATTTTTAATAAGATTGTCTATTTAGTGTAAAATGCAAAATCATTGCCTGGCAATTAAGTTGGATTGGCGTGGAATAATAGTTTGCCTAGAAAAAGGGGCTCTGTAATCAAGAACTTTGGAAAAAACTGGGTCAAATAAAATTAAACAATTTATGAACCTTGGGCTTTTATATGCTAACATACATTATCAAGCTTCCTGAGGAAGCTGAGACTTTCCAAATGCGTTTGGCCATGGAAACATATTCATAGACCTCCTATGACCAAAGGTCACAGGAACATCTCTTAAAAAAAAAAAAAAAAAGTGAGTTAGAGAATTGCATTAAGAGTTCTAATTACAACATGTCACTTGGCAGAAACTTATAGGAATAATATCACTTGCCATTTTTAAAGTTTTAGGTCAACTCTGAGTCTCCAATTAAAGGAGATTATCATAATTGACCTTAGAATATTCAGTAACTTGATCATCTATAATCTGGATGTTAAGATTCCAGTTTGCTGAGTCACATGATCACCACTATTAAACATAAATGACACATAGTGTATTTACATTTGCTTTTTCCTATACTTCTAATTAGAATTCTGGGTATTTTGTTTTGTGTTGGGTTTTTTTGATGGCTCAGTTAATGTCCTCTCACATCATCAAATATGTGTTCATGGTTAACAACAACAATAAAACAGCCAGAGGATAACATTATATGGATTATTCATTTACACATTCTCACCAAACTAACCAGGTAAATTTCAGAGCATATAATATAAAATTACCCATGTCAAAATGACTAAACATTACTCCCTTTCCAGAAATTGTAAAAGTGAAAGCTGATTTAAAATTCTGTAATTTTATAAAAGGTTTTGTTCAAAATATTGCTATCCTCCATTCATTAAGAAACATGGGTTTTCATAAAAGCTATAAATTAATACAGTCACCAGTCATGCTAAAATTATAACATTCACCTTTAAGCTGGAAGATATTTAGTTAAAGCGTTAGAAAAATATGTGGCTTATTAAATCTTCATTAAGAAAGACCTGGGGCGGTTGCCAAGAAAGAAATTAAGTTAATGACAGCACTGTATACCAGGGATCTTAAATGCTAAGAATCTCATGATTCTACTTTGCATTTTCTGTAGCAACACCACTCAGAAATGGTGCTATGATGTCTAACATGCTTAATACCCCACATCACAAAGATGCACTCAAAATACTGACTGGATTAACAATGGCAAACCCACCAGCTAATATTGTCAAATAAGTCAAATTTATAATTCCTGAACATTTTGTTTTTGTTGTTGTTGTTGTATTTTGAGTTGGAGTCTCACTCGGTCACCCAGACTGGAGTGCAGTGGCCGCTCCCGGCCACCGCAGCCTCGACCTGCTGGGCTCTGGCGATCCTTCTGCCTCAGCCTTCCGAGTAGCCGGAATTACAGGCGCGCGCTACCACGCCCGGCTGATTTTTTGATTTATTGTAGAGATGAGGTCTCGCTGCCCAGGCGGGTCTCGAACCGGGGCTCAGGCAATCCACTCACCTCAGCCTCCCAAAGGCGTGGGATTACAGGCTGAGCCACCGAGCCCGGCTATTCCTGAACATTTTGATACAGTAGTTGATTACTTGTATTTTTAGCTTTGTAAACAATTGATATTACATTTAAACAAAAATTTAGTTAAATAGAACAAACTTAAATTTTGACATTTCATGAAAAATGTGTCATTTCCAAAAAATCTAGCCTTAAAGAAAGATGCCATTTTGTAGGTTAACTATGTCTTCACTAACAGAATAGAGTGCAGCGAGAAAAGGTATGTTAAACTACAAACTTCTCTTTTTAGAGAAGACAAAACATACTGAAGAAAAATACACACACACACACAAAAGAAAAATAACACCTTCTGTACCTTAATTCACTAGAGAGTCTACTTAGGATAACTGTTTAGGAACTACAATTGTTTTCTTCACAGGCAAAGACCCCTAAGTTCCTGTTTCCTAATACAGTGATCAAGATCAAGGAACAAACCGTATTACAAACACGGCACAAAATACAGGTTTTCTCTACTAGCTGACCCTCAAACACCAATTACAAACAAAATCTAAAAGTATAATTTGTAACCTTCAGATAAATACAGACTAGTTTTATCTAGACATTCATCATCATTTGGCTTCTTATACTATCTATTTATAAGTACACTCCTCTAAGTTTATATTGTCAAAAATTAAGGCTAAGACTGTTTTACATCAATTAATCATACACCAATATTTTATGACAATATGTACATATTTGTAAAATGATAACTTTTCCAAGATCAGTAATAGCCCCAATTTTTAAAAAAATCTCATTTATTGCTTTGAATTGTGTGTTAAAGTAAAAACACAGAAAAGGGAGAGACTGACCAGGCAGAAAGGAGATGAAAAGTGTCAAAAGTTTAAATTTATAGTCCAGTTCGTTTCTTCCCAGCAAAATAATTCACAGTACTTCTTCAGCTTTCAAATTCTAGACATTCAAATTGTCATAGTACCCTGCAAAAACTAATACATAAGTAGAATTATCTGGTAAGAATAAAATGTTTTAAAATTGCTTTTGATTAATTATATGTCATAAAAACATTTTCACAAGAGGGGAAATGTTATATATACTATTAAGGTAATGTTGACTCTGTAACTTCCATCAATAAATACAACAAAAACAAATAACAAACTCTGAAACATTAAAACACATGTAAAATATGACTTTCTTATAATTTCTGTTAAAAAACAAAACAAAATTGGATTCAGATTAATAGCAACCATTTGAAATGAGAACTGAACTGCTTCATAATCTGTCATAAATTAAATTCTTTTCTCTCTCTTAGAAAAATATCACAAGTAAATTACTCTACAAAAATAATGGTACTTTTAGCCCTCATGAATGTTTCAAAACATGACCTGCTAAAAACCTCTCATAAAATTTAGAAGTATATTTAGATTTAAGAGAGAGTCAAACTGGTTGGCAACTGTACAAATATTGAATCTTAGATTTGCATTAAACTAAAAAATATAGAAAAAAATATGATCTAAGGAATACATTATTCCAGTAGTGACACGGGGATCACTTAAACTTTAGATAACTTAGAATACAATATAAATATAACAAATGTGAAGCAAGATACTCACATCATCATATATGAAATTCACAAACCCTTGTTGTAAGTGGTCTCTTCTCTTAAAGAAATCTTTAAACAAAGAAATTATTTTTAATTATAATGGAAAATACATAGTTTCAAGTACTTGGTGTACCCAGGTACAAAAAAATGAATAATTTCATATTAATTATTAACTGTTTTAATACCATATCCCTGGCAACTTAGATACAAAAAGAAAAAAACTTTCCAAAACCAAGATAAAAAGTTTTTACTGCTTATATTCCTAAATTTTAAAACCTTATAACTAATTAGATTTCTTAGTAAAAAGGGAGAAAACCATCTATTATTATAAATTTGCTGACAGAAATGTGAGACACTATTCAAGAAAAATAGCTACATAATACTACACCCAGTTTTAAATGTTTAATACCTGTCAATGCTCGAAGCTTCACACAGCAAGCAACATAATCATCAAAGAAAATTCTGCCATTCTTGCTATAACGCTTAACAATAGCAGTTAATGTCTGAGGACTCAACCTATAACCTAAAAAAAAAAAAAAACCTGATAAATTAAAACTTCTAAAATCAAACACCATAAGAACACGCAAGATTGCTTTCTCTTTGATGAGGTCATAAATTAGCTTTCAACATTCATTCCACAAAAATATTTATTAAAAACAAAAAATATATATTAGAAACAAAAATATATTGAAACTGACCAAAGGCTTCATTATTAACTCATTAAGTGTTATATAAATATCACAAATCTACCTTTGCAATAAAGTCAAAGCTAAGGAAAAGAAAATAAATATCTTCCTGTGAATTTACCATATATTTTGATTTTGAAATAATGTCTAGAGTATTTCGTAAGTTTTAATGCATCAATATTTCAATTCTGTAACTTTTATAGTTCTGAAAGAAATCAAACCAAAGATTATTAATGATCCTTGCTATCACTCAAATCCTACATTTGCAACTGAATATATTACTTGAAAGTGTCTTTTACAATTAAAAAACATTGAGGATCAATAGGGTTACTCTAAAAGGGAAGAAAGAGAAAAATGTTACTCCTTTTTGTCCTATAACACTTATTCTGTTTCTCTACACACTGTGATAATAACTATAGTCTTTTCACTATTTCAGTAATGTCTTTGGCTTTTTGTTCTAGTGTTGTGGTTCTCAAAATGTTTTAACTGAGCACTCCTATCACTAATAAGTTTCTGATCATTTACTCCCAGTACATGTATTTTGAGTTAGTTTTAAATTCCACACGTGTTACTGTTAATTACTTACATTTTAAAATATGTATAAAGACAAAAATTTTTAAAGAATGAAATAAAAAATAGAAGTATAAATTAATATATTCTATTTTACTTTTACTGATGGCCCTATGCATTTAATGAGATATGTATATTTTACTATGAAAAATGCTGACCTAGAATTATTATCTACATATTACTAGATTTGTACATTTAGAAAAATGACATTAATCCATTCAAGGGTGAAGACAATAAAAATGCAAAAAAAGTCTGCATGTAGTTACCATAGAATGTAACCAGGAAACTTACCAAAAGAAAATAAAAGTTGAATTGTGCCCCACATCTTTAAAAGAAAAAAAAGTAAATAAAAGTAGAAGTACAAATTGAGAGGTAATAAAACTTGCAAGCTAATGTAATTATATTCAAATGTATTTTGAGTTTTCTATTAGACAGTTATAAACTGGATGTGATACTGATAAAATTCCCAAGATTTTCCAGTAAAATTGTCAGCATAAATAACTTAAATATTTTAAAAATATCTGAAGATCCTAAATTTGAATAACCCAGAATGCCTACCTTTTGATTTTTTTGTTTGTTTGTTTGTTTGTCACTCAGTTGCCTATTTGAACTCTCCTTGGAGATTTTCTTTTATTGCAAAAGATTATATTAGATTTTCATCATTAAGATGAATATAAGACCAAGTTCAATCAATCAGTTTATTAAGGTTTTATAATTGAACTACATATGTTTATATGGTCAGGACTGTCTCTGCTAAATTAAAATGTCTATAAAACAAAACAAAAAATATTACGCTTGACTTCTTTAAATTGTAATTTGAGATAAGTCCACTTATATTAGGTTCAGATCTTAACTTTCAAAAAATTAATTTTAGTACAAATGTATTTTGTTTAGAAAGGACTGCATATAAATCACAAGAGTAAAAGCAATCAAGAAATCTACTTAAAACTGCATTAACTAGGTAAATTATACACTACTGTATCTTTCCATTTTTTGAAATAAAATGTACTAAGAACCTTAGATTATCAAAGCTATGATCAAAATAAAGTCACATTCTTTTTAAATGTTCTCAAATGCAAACTTTCTATTCTTGAGGTATTTTGGTACCTACTATGTGTTATGAAATATATAAGAAAAATAAAAACACGGCTGCTGAAAAGTTAGACTATTATATAGAGACTTGTGATTGACTGAAATAAACTTGCTACAAAATTAAAGATCCTATAAAGTTATAAAAGAATATAAGTGGTAAGTACTAACAATTAGCAATGAATTTAAATATACTTAACAAGAAATTCAGAATGTATGCCTGTATGGAAGATCATCTTCTGAAAAAATCATAATTAAAATGGTTTTGATAAGGTCTTTGAACACTTAATTATAACCCTGAAAACAAACTAGGGAACTACTATGGACAGAAAAATATATCCCTTTACTTATTAACTGAAGCAATTAAGATTCATCATATCAAAGAACAAAGATAACCTTTACAGAATCTAAAAAATTTTAATATACTTACCCATAACAGCAATGGCTTGACTCAATTCATGATGCTCTACTGTTCCACTTTGGTCTTGATCAATAGTCATGAAGTTTTGCTTCCAGGCATTAAGAGCTGCCCAAAGCTCTTTGAATTCATTAAATCCCATTTTTCCTGTATAATCTCTCTGATGACTTTATTAACAAAAATTAATTTTGATACCTAAGAAAATTCATGTGACTCAAAATTCCAAATCACTGACTAAAAAATAAGTATGCTTTTGCAGAATTAGCCAAACTCAGCATATGAACAGATTTCAGTGTAAAAATTAAAAAGTCTGGCATTCAAACAGGAGCTTACACAGTATTTTAAAATTCTCTAGTTTACTGTGGTCATTTAAAACTAGTAACTGGCTTAATATTCATAAACCTATTATTCTATAGTCTAGCATTTCCTATTTTTATTCAAGGATACATCCAACATGGCAATCATAATTCTGCAGGTTTCCAGGCTGAAGGCTGTAAAACATATTCAATATTTAAATCGGAGTCTGCCCAATGTTATCTATGTGAAATTATGATAATCTCTATTTTCAAAACAAAAAATTTAAAAACTGCCAGAAATACATAATCACCACAATCAACAAACTTTTATTGAATGTTAAGCACCACAGCATACAAGAAGGTGGCATATGATGACATCAGAAAGGCCAGTGAGGGCCAGATCATGAAATTCGTATCCTGAAGAGTTTAGACAAATGAAACTCACTAAGGATTTTAAGAACAAAAGAAATCTAAAATTTCTATTTTAGAAATTAAAAGTGGGATGATACTGAGAGAACCATAATAAAGTATACCATGAACTTAGGTTAAAAGCATGCTATAACCCAATAAATATGTAATCGGCTTGTGGACAATAGCACAGCCATTTTAGTTTTCTGCTTTAAAACATAACCTGTAGCTGTTTAAAGTTTCAGTTATGGGAAAAAACTGCAAAGCTCCAGTTTAAGCTTTAACCCCTTCCCTTGACCCACTTTCCCCTTAGCAACAACCAATCAGGTGCCAGGGGAAAATCACCTAAAGTTTCCAAATGTCTCTGCAACTTCACCAGCTAGTGGGCCAAGGTCAGCCGGAGTCAAGCTAGCCAATCCTCCACGATTGAGCTGACAACCAAAGGTTACTACCCAATTAAATGGTAACAAGACTGGAAAGTCCCCCCAAACTCCTCCTCCCTTTGTGTAAAAGCATAAAAGGCATCTGCTTAAGGAAATCAGGGTATCTGGGTGTATTCCGCTGCGTCGGTTGTCAACAGAGGTCCAGGCTCGAGCTTGCAAATAAAAACCCTCTTGAACTTTCATCGGAATTGGCTCTTGGTGGTCTCTCGGATTAAACTTTGGCCACTACATTACTAGCGATAGGGTTAGGTAAGTCATTTGGTAGTCTGTTGTAATAGCTCAAGTAAGAAATGATGAGCCTCTGAACTGATTATTTTTTCTTATGGGAGGGGAGAAGAAAAGAAGAAAAAAAAAATCAATGCAAATTACCTTAAAATCAGGGGTGGTTATAAATGTTATCACTTCCATATTTACAGAAATACAACTGAGGAACCACTAGATAAAATTTAATTTTTCTAATCCTTATCACTATTGGATTCAACTGGTATGCTGATTTACCTCAAGACTAAGTACATCATAATCCTGATAAAGAAGAAATTATGTTAATACAGTTTAGTTAAGCTTACAAAGTTCTTACTAGGCCAGGCTTGGTGGCTCAGCCTGTAATCCCAGCGCTTTGGGAGGTCGAGGTGAGTGGATTGCCTGAGCCCACGGGTCTACAACTTGGCAAGACCTCATCTCTACAATAAATCAAAAATTAGCCAGGCGTGGCAGCGTGTGCCTGTAGTTCCAGCTACTTGGAAGGCTGAGGCAGAAGGATCACCGGAGCCCAGCAGGTCGAGGCTGCGGTGGCCGGAAGCGTGCCACTGCACTCCAGTCTGGGCGACAGAGTGAAACTCCAACTCAAAAAAACAAAAACAAAGTTCTTACTAATATGAATTCATGAATAAAAATTATCATATTAGTCCCCAATATGATATATGAATAAAAAATTTCAGTTATTTCATTTTATGCTACTTGAAAACATATTTTGAAATAAAAATTATTTAAACTTTTTTTTAAAAAAAGAAAGAGAAGTTATTGCAGTTAAATTTTAGTCCCACTAAGGAAAATCATAAAGTATTCCATAAGTTAAAATAGTTGATTTTCTTGAAAGGTCTAATGCCTAAGAAATACTTCCGAAAATGGGTGTGAAAGTGGAGATAAAAACAGGATTGGCAAAAGTGTCTATTTAAGGAGTATTTAAAGCCCTAAATCCCCTCCTGCTTCAGCTCAGTTGGACAGCTGCCACATCCACCTCCACCCCAGTAGAAGTCTGGATTTTATTATCTGGAGAGGTCCCTAAACTGCAGGAGACCAGGCACAGTTGAGACAGGGCTATCTACCAAAAACAAAGCAATTAAATGGCAACTTACAAAAGATTTGAGAACCCTAGGGAGTCCACCTCTCCTGCTTAGGCAGATCAACTGAAAACCCAGCCCAAAAGGAAATCCCTAAATACACTGGCACCCAGACTTCCACAACAAAACTGCCCATCCAAACCACCATACACTGAAACCTACAGTCAATACCTAACCATTGTCTCAGAGCTTGTAATCAGTACTGTCGTTAAATATGAGCAAGGAAGTATCATCAGACAACCGAGAAAAGCACTTAACATGAAAGACAACCAAAACAAACAAAACTGGGAAAATAATTTGGAGAAAACAAAGTTTATATAGAAAATAAAAACTTTAAAAATATCTTAATAGTCTCAGAGAGACAAGAGAAGGCATCTTATTAATGAAAATAGAACAGAAGTGCTTGGATATTTAAAACATGATAGCAGAAATGAAAGACTCAATAAGAGGTTTGTATGCAGACAGGGAGGGTCTCTAGGGACTATAGGAATTTAATTAACTTGAGCAATCAGCCTTCTGGCCCTTCAGTCTGTGGAGAAGGAGGTCACCTAGCTGGTAAAACCAGCTCCTATCAGAGTTCAGCAACTTATAGATAACCCCAGTGAACTTTCCTTATTTCTGTGCTAAAGCTTCATTACCATAACCTGGGACCTAAGTGCTGGCATAATAACTCACTCTGTACAACTGAACTGGATCCCTTCTCTACATTCGATGACATGCCCTTTCCTCACCCCATCACCCCAGGAAACCCTCCTGTTACTTTCCTTCTGAGAGACACTGCTTTGAAGAATACTCCCAGTGTTCTCCTTACTTTGCCAAGTAATAAAACCCCTACTGAGCAAAACCTGCATTCTTGTGGAGAGTCGTTTGTTACTCTCCAGGTGAGCAAACCCCCCCCAAGAGAAAAGTACAGAAAAAAAGAGATTGAAGAGAAAAGTTAAGAAAAATAGAAGATCCAGTCCAAATAAAAGGCATCCTGGAATGAACAAACAGAGAACACGTTACCAAAGAAAATTTCTCAGAACTAAAGCAAAGGAGTTTCCAGACTGAGTTCCCCACATAAAATAACTGGGGACTTCACTGTGAAACTGCAGGATACTAAAGGGAGAGAGACAATCTCACAAGTTTCCAGAAGAAAAAAACAAATCACATACAAGCAGGAAAAAAGAGCAATGATGGAAGCTAAAAACAATCATGTGTAACCCAGAATTCTATACATGGCCGATCAATCAATCAATTATAAAGGCAGAATGAAAGTATGTCCAGATATATAAGGTTTCAAATATTTACCTTCCATGAACCTTTATTAAGAAGTTTCTTATTTATTTACTTCATTATATAAGATGATGAATTTTTAAAAAGAAAATAACAAGAAACAGAACAGAGAGGAGATTCAACTCAAGAGGGAAAGGAAAAAACAGCTTCCAAATGATGGTGAAGGAATGCCAGTTTGACAGTTATGCATAGAAAAGAGAGCACAGGAGAAAGTTCCTGGATGGGGTGCATTGACTTGCACCTGTAGTCCTAGTTACTCAGAAGCCTCGGGCAGAAGGATCACTTGAGTCCAGGAGATGGAGGCTATGATTTCATCACTGCACTACAGCCTGGATAATAGAAAGGGATCCCATCTTTAGATAGATAGATAGATAGATAGATAGATAGATAGATAGATAGATAGATAGATAGATAGATAGATAGACAGACAGACAAGGGAGGGAGGGCTGGAGAGGGGAGAGAGGTGGGGAGGAGGGAGAGAGAGAGAGAAAAGAAAGTCCCAGAATGAAGAGAAAGATAGACCACCTGACAACTATTAGCTTCAAGAAAAGCAAAAACAAATTAAATAAAGAGGAAAAGTAACCATACGTTAGCACAAGGTACACCAACAAAACAGCATTTAGGTAGTAAAAATAAGGTAAAGATTGATTTACCTAACCAAAATTACTATCTAATTACACTGGAAATAAGGAAGAGTGGGAAGTGCAAGAATAGAGGTAAGTTTAAGATTGAGAAAAGTCAAATCCTCATCTCCCACAGCAGGACATCAATTGATAATAATTAAAACTAAAAAGCAATAAGAGATTAGAAAACATACTATCTTAAATCTGAAAGCCAATTTCCAAAGAATTGGCAAACAAAAAATTTAAAGAGGTCTCCTCTAAGAAGAGGAATGTATAATAAACAGTTATTGTCATAACACATTTTACAGAATTATTTGACTCTTTAAACTGTCCATATAACTGTGGTAACATTTTTAATATTTTAAGTATGGGAACAAAAAAGTTAGAAAACAAATTTCCTATTCCAATTTCAACAAGAAAGGAAAAAAAAAACTCACGAGAATAAGTTCCATTAATTCCAGACTGTGTCAAACATTTCTGAAGTTCTTCAGCATCCACTTCACCATCCTGTTTAAAAATATTTATGGCCTGACTTAATGTGCAGTTGTATAGAAGCATATTAAAATGTTAATTAACCATTCTACACCAATTAAAAATATGTATTCTTTAAAACATTACTCTATAATTAACTACAAAATTCTAGAGAAAATTATTGACAGCAAAGGGATATTACAGAACATCACACAACATGAGTAACTGCTTCTATCTCTGAAAAATAGTACAATCACCCTGTTCTAAAATAGTTCACAACAACAGGATAGTCATTGTATTTCTATTTTAAATTGTTAGAAAAATGTCTAAAATGTACTCATAGAAGTCTCAAAAACTGCCCCACTTGTGCCTATTTGAGGAGAAGATTATTTATAAAGAATACTAAAGCTTTAACTAGAGGAGAAAAATATTTCCCCTGTACCATTATGCCTAACAAAATTTTTGAGTTTTCCTGTATTTTATTTCTATCCTTCTGATTATTGCCCAAACATTCTTGTTTGAATTTAAATGGTAAATAAATTTTTTTAGCGCAAACAAGAAATCACAATGTAAATAAAATAGGTTGACTATTCTCATTATTTTTCAGTACCTGTTTTCTACCAAAATACAAAGTAATTCACTTGGAAACATCACATACATTGGCACTGATGCAAAACGATAGCTATGAGAAGGATCAAGGAGGCAAATTTAAAACATACTCTTCATAAAAGACCTAAGAAGCAAAAAACACTTTTAGAATTACTTCTAAGAAATATTATCAACATTCATATTCTAATGGGTCTTTGGCAAAAGAATCCCTTTTAAAAACAGCAGTGGTTCTAACAGGAAGCATTTTTCTTAGTGGACCATCAGTACAGTATTCCTTACACAAGAGTATCTAAGATACCTTTTTCTCTCACATATATTTTTGAATCTTGCTTACTAAATTTGAAATTCCACAGTTAGAAAATTGCATTTTTAAAAATGTCATACTTTTTAGGTTGAGGGATAAGTTAGAACATTTTTCCTCAAATATAAAGACTTCAGAAGGACTTTTTGGCACATTTTAAATCAACAATTACCTACCTTGCTACAGTCCTAAAGCAAGCATTTCAGACCATTATTATATATCAGGACTTTTAAAGACTATGAACACATTTCTAAAAGGTCCTGAACAGAAATCAACAGCAAAACACCCTATCAATTAAGTCCAACGGCAGCCACTGTCAATATCCATCTCAGTGAAATGATGAACGCATATGCTAGACTGGTGTCAGACTAACTTTAAAAGATAATCTTTTACAAATAATCAAAACAAAGCAAATGTAGTAAATGATTTTTCTAATTAAAAAAATCTTCTAGTACACTAAAAGTAATATGGTTGAAATTATTTCTTTTCTTTAATTCTTAAGTGGGAAAACAGTATTATTCCTGAGGATTAAATTAATGAGAATTGCTAAGTCTCACTTATTTTTTCTCATTTAAAAAAATGATGCATTGTGCAGACAATAGGCTAAAGCTAAAAGCTTTCTAAAAAGGAGAAAGTTAAATTTATTTTTTTAAAAAAACTAAACCAATTCCATAAAATAAAAGATATTAGTCCTGCATGATATTTTCTGCTGAAGTATAAGCTTCTTCTGTAGCACTTCATACAAAAGTCCACTTAGCCCATAGAGAACATTTATCTAAATCCTATACTTTCAAAGAGACAAAGAAACTTTGAGGGAAACAAAGGATTTTTGTTGTTTTGTTTCGGGTTTTGCTTTTTTAGAGAAAGAATAAAGTTTACAGAGAAATCAAAGCTGAATAAATTGCTGACAAAGAAAACACAGAAAAGGTCAGTATAAATTTGAGTTAAAGAATATAAAAGTTATTCTAGGATTTTCACTAACGCTTTTTGAATGACAAGGAAGCTAAGAAACATGTTACTATTTCCTATCCCACAAAAAGAAACAGAAGTGTAAAGTCTGGGTGTCAAATTTCTACCTGACCATTTATATACAATGGCCCAGGCTTCCTTCGTGCACTTTTCTGGTCTGCCTATATGTCTTGTATTTCAGAAGTAAATGTGTATTCTTTGTATGAAAATGTAAGTTTATTATTTTCCCAGAGTTGAAAACTATATGCTGTAAAACTCTGAAAACGTTCTATTAATAATTCCTCAAAAAGTACCAGTTTAAGTACTGATCTTTTGCAAACCCTTCAACTTATGAAGGTTTTATGATGCATATGTCAATGATATATAATCTTTTTCCTCAAGTTAAGTTGTTCTACTAAATACTTGGGTTTATCTTCTAAAAACATGCAGACTAAAGCATGATAAGTAAACTGGCCCATATTCTAAATGTAAAATCATCATATATGCTGAACAGGTTTTATAGACTGAAGTAGGGCTGATAGCAAGGTAAGGCAAAGGAGGTGAGTGGCACAAAGGGTCAGTCAGATCTTGCCTTTATTTAAAAATTGGATATATTAGTTGATCACTTAGTTTTGCATTAACTTTGATTTTTCACAATATCATATTAAAGCATGATTTATTGTGATTACCGAGGATTTTTTTTAAATCCCCTTAAATTTTGCATCCAAAGCAAGTCTCTCAGTTGCTTTTCCCTGGCCTGATTTTAAGCCACTTAAAAATGTAACAGTACTTAACAGTTTTGCCAGGACTTTAGGTTAATGGACCTTCTTGGCAACTAAGAGGAAAAATAACTGTGAAGGAAAAGATATATTTATTTCTCTAACGATATCTGAGGCCCATTTTGCTTTATTGGAACAGTTTCTACTTTTAAAAAGTTGTATGAAGCTAAATTGTATATATGAAATTCCAAGACTGTTTTTGGAAACATTATGGAAGAGCAAAGGCTAGGAAGTAAAGAGAGAGCACATCTGTAGTAGGGGCAAGAATTTGCTTCTGAAGACCTCACATGGCATTGGGATGTGAGTGCCTCATTGCTTGAATCCAGGAAGTGGGATCGGGCTCCCTACTCATCAAAGGAAGCAAGACTAAACCAAATGAAACCAAACAAACTAGCAAAATATACTGCTAACTACTGCCTGAGGACATCACTTCTGAGAAGCTGAAGGCTTACAAAGCAGAACTAGAATGCTAATCTACATAAATGGCTCCTTACTTTATGGGATATGCAATATCACCAACAAACAGAAGCCCTGAAATCTGATTCTGGACACAATCAAGTGGAAACAATCACAAGACCACTAGAGAGTGAAGGGTGACATGGAGAAATGGAGAGATGACATGGAAAGGAACAGAAAGAGGGAGGGAGAAAATAAACAAAAACTCCACTTGAAATAAGTTTGAAAACCAAAATTCCAAAATAAATAGTGAAGTCTAATGTTTAAAAAGACAGCCAACACAAATCAACAATTTTAAAATAAATCCATGCAAGATAATATAATTTTATAGACCAATTATTAAAACAAGTATGTTAATATGTAGAGAGAGAAATAAATAACTTCCACTTAGGAAGAATATAAAGTTATTTCATTTAATATTTATTGAATAATCTACTATGTGTAAACACCATTCATTGGATGCAGTAGGTATCAAAAAATTCCTCACTTTTATGGAGTTTACATTTTAGTGGTAGAGGAGAAACAAAAAAGCAAAAATTAGAAAGAGGTAATAAGTGCTAAGGAAAAAAATACAGCAGGGTAAAGATGATGGGGTGTGTGCATTAATGTACAGTAAACATGTTTACTGGTTTATTATCAAGGATATTACAAAAGATACAAAGAGATGCATAAGGCAAGGTATGAGGGGAAGGGATGCAGAACTTCTATGCCCTGCCTGTGTGCGCTAACCTCCAGAAATCTCCATATGTTTAGCTCTCTGAACCCTGTCCTTTTGAGTTTTTATGGAGGCTTCATTACATAGGCATGAATGACAACAATGTAGAAATGTGACTGGACAAAAAGGGTATGCTCTCTAACAGACTGAGTGGGGAAACCCAGCAAAGGTGTAGGAGGGTGAGGAGGCAAATGCTATTTTATATAGAAGATTAAGGAACGCTTCACTCCCTGTAAGGTGAATTGGAGAAAGACTTAAAGAAAGTGAAGGAACAAGTTATGATGATACCCGACAGAGGAGTGTTCTAGGTTTCTGCTGTCTTATATAGTGGCCATCGCCATATATTCATTGAGCACTTGAAATGTGGCTAGTTCAAATTGAGATGTTCTGTAAGCATAAAACACACAATGGATTTCAAATATTTGGTAACAAAAAAGCATAAAATATAATTGATAATTTTTATATTGACTACATGTTGAAATGTTAGTAGTAATTTCACCGATTTCTGTTTACTTTTTAAAATACACTATGTGAGACTAAAATTATATATGCAGTTTGCATTTGTAGCTCGCATTTTAATTATTTGGACAGTACTGTTCTAGGCGAAGATAACAAGTACAAAGTCTTGGCATTGCTAAAATCTTTACCTATTTACCTTTGGCACTTCTCTCCCTACATCATTATCATTCCCTACATGTTATCTCCCTGATTAAAAGACATCTTCTACGTCAGTGTCTGAGTTTCATTTAACTTTGCATTCCCAGGTCCTAGCACAATATCCAGTACACAAAAGGTCAGTCTTTGGTAGAATGTAGGCAGTTACTGCTGGTTCATCACTAAAATGCAATAAATTCTGAAAGTTTGTGGCCATGTTCATCTACTACTTCAAAAAGTTAAAAATATTAGAATTTCTCACTCAATTTGGATTATATTTAAAAATTTGTAAAATTAACGAAACCCTGTCTTACATGTGCTTTATAGAATTTTTGGAGTTAGAAAGGTAATCTAACAGCTTTGCTGGAAGATATTCATCGCCTTCTGTCTTGGGAAAATTCTCTTAAACTATGTTTTTTCCTCTGCTCTCACACCACCACAACAATTATCACCATAGAATGAGACTTCAGTGACCAAATGTGGGGGTTTTCCCTGCACACCAACCAGGGAACACCAGCTGGGCATCCTCTAATTCAATTCAGACACTATCTACTTAGAGATAGTGTCAGATCCCATGGGATGAGGACTCAGTTCCACAAGACAGCCCAGACACAAGGCACAAAACCAGGCCTCCAGAACTTCTAATTGACTGATTTCAAGTTGGGGTTCTCATGACCCAGCTCTTTGGTTTAGATTAATTTGCTGGAGCAGCTCACAGAACTCAAGGAATACTTTCATTTTTTCCCCCAAAATTGCTAAACATATATGAAGAAAAATAACATATCTTAAAAAAAAAGTGTTCCCAAATGTTTCATTAACACCCACAACTATCTTAGTTCATCATTCTTAGAAGTTTTTTGTACAAAAACACAAACATAGCAAGTGCTGAAATACATACTAAAGCAAGAATAAAAGACAAGTTCATTTATTTCAACAATAGGAGACAAACTCTAATATACCTTCTTTTTAATTCTTTATTGTATCTGGAATTAGTGCTAATGTATGGTATGGGATAAAGACCTAAATTTACTTTTAGGTAAATTGCTAATTATTTCAAGATAGTTAATTTAGGACTCCATTCTTTCCCCACTGATATGGAATGCTACATTCACTATTCACCACATTCTGGGTTATGTTTCTAAGCTTCCTGCTCTTCTCTACACACTTTTTTTTACATTAGGATCACACAATCACAATTATATTTGCTTATAATTTGTTCATATTATGACTTTTTTTTTTTTTTTTTTGAGTTGGAGTCTCACTCTGTCACCCAGACTGGAGTGCAGTGGCCACTCCTGGCCACTGTAGCCTCGACCTGCTGGGCTCCGGCAATCCTTCTGCCTCAGCCTTTCGAGTAGCTGGAACTACAGGAGCACGCTACCACGCCTGGCAAATTTTTTGATTTATTGTAGAGATGAGGTCTCGCCAAGTTGCCCAGGCGGGTCTCGAACCCGCGGGCTCAGGCAATCCACTCACCTCAGCCTCCCAAAGGCGCGGGATTACAGGCTGAGCCACCAAGCCCGGCTTATTACGACATTTTAATATGACTTAATATTTATTCTGAATAACACAGACTACCAGATAAATTTTAGAATCATTTCTGTAAATGCCAAAAAGAAAAAAAAGAAAAAGAAACCTATAGGGATCTGGCTTAAATAATATTATATTATTTATTTATTAATTTGGAAGAAATTGGCATTTCTTTATTTACTTTCATTTAAAATTTCTGATAAAATGTATATAAAATTACTTTACAAAGAATAAATCATAGTACAGTGTAACAATTACATAGGAGTAAAAGAAAAAACTCTACCTGACCACAGTAATCACATATCATCACTAACAACTCACCCTCAGAATTCATGTACCTGAATTGGCAGTCTCACACTTCCCTATTGGTCATAATAAAGTCAGCCTTTAAAATATTTGTTCAACTGTGTTAGAAACTAATAACATCCTAATACCAAAGACATCATTAATATAATATACTATTTCCTTTAATTTTTAATTAAGAATAGAAAAATAAGGCCAGGCACGGCCGCATGGTGGCTCAAGCATGTAATCCCAGCATTTTGGAATGCTGAGGTAAGAAGACTGCCTGGGCAGCATGGTGAGGCCTCATCTCTACAATAAAAACCAAAAAATTAGCCGGGTGTGGTAGCGCGTGCCTGTAGTTCCAGCTACTTGGAAGGGTGAGGCAGAAGGATCGCCGAAGCCCAGCAAGTCCATGCTGGAGTGGCCGTGAGCCACTCTAAAATAAATAAATGCATAAATCTTAAAATTATTACTTTGATAACCTGTTTGGAAAACTGACAAGCCATATAAAATCAAAATTACTATAAATGACATGACCTCACTTATTAAAAAATGAAATTTCCCAACTTGAATAAATGTATGATATTTTGGAGGTTTTTGTGTTTACTTTTGTTTTTTGTTTTATGAGGTGGAGTCTCACTCCATTGCCCAGGCTGGAGTGCAGTGGCACACTCACGGCCACCCCAGCATCAACCTGCTGGGCTCCAGCGATCCTTCCGCCTCAGCTTTCCAAGTAGCCAGAACTACAGGTGCGTGCTACCACAATTTAAGACATTTTGAAGATTTCCTATCATTATATTGTTCTAAATATTTAGGTTTTAACTGCAACTTTTTTTTAATGAGATTGATATCTAAGTTAAAAATATTGTTCCTTAAAATACTAATTTTTAAAAATATCACCCAGTTTCCTCAAATCTCCAATATTCATCTTTGCCTGCTAAAAAGGGTGTGCAGGCTAAATGTACTTAGATTTGTTCTATCAATCACTCAAGGAGAGTGTGATGCTTCTAAATGTCAAACAGAGTAAGGAAAATAAAAAGATTTAAGTGTTAGAAAAATGATAATTCAAAATAAGATGACATTATAATATATAGTTTTTGTGGAGTTCTTAATGACTAGTAAGTGGAGTCTCTTGTAGAACAACTTCAGTAAAGAACACATACTAGGTAAGAAAGAATCAGATTTATTTTTCCACTATAAAAAAAAATATGTTTCCTCTTTTAGTCAAATGAACAATGTATCAGGCATACTAACAGACTTTCAAAAAAAAATTATGACTATTCTCATCTCTGATCTCAGGAGGAAAATTGGTCTAAATACATTTAAAATAGAAATTTCACACAGATTTAAAATAATACACCAAGTAAAATAGTTGACATTTCTCTTAAATAGCAATTATTTTTTAAATTAATATGTCTGCAATAAATTTAGCATCTCACCTGTCCAGCAACAGCAGTGAAATAAGTCCACATGGGGTCACTACCTGAGGAATAACTATCCAAGTATGCTGGGTATCCAGGGTATCCACCAGGGAGCATTCCTGGCACCTGACTGCTAAAATTTCCAAACTGTAGAACAAAAGGAGAGAAAGTTAATGATACAAACATTACCTGTATCTGTGAAAGCTAGTTTAAAAGAAAATATTTAGTAGAAGTCCACTGAAAAGTAAAAACAGTTACTAAAAGCTTCCAAATTTAGCTATCACAAAAGCTTCAGCTACCAAATGCTAGATGTCTTTCATTAAGACATAACTAAATTCATTTACATGTTATCCGGCATTAATGAAGGTGTAAAAGAAAAAAGAAGCCACTAGCCTCTAAAAACTTAATCTAACAGAAGAACATGAGGCACAATTTTTGGCCGTGCTTGGTGGCTAGGCCTGTAATCCCAGCACTTTGGGAGGCCAAGGCGAGTGAACTGCCTGAACCCAAGGGTTCCAGACCAGCCTGGCCAACTTGGGGAGCCCTCGTCTCTACACTAAACTAAAAATTAACCAGGTGTGGTATCATGTGCCTGTAGTTCCAGCTACCTGGAAGGCTGAGGCAGAAGGATCGCCAGAGCCCAGAGGGTTGACACTGGGGTGGCCATGAGCATGCCACTGCACTCCAGCCTGGGTGATGGAGTGAGACTCCAACTAGGGGAAAAAATTAAAAATAACAAGAATATGAGGCACAATTTTTAAAAAGTGTTTACCATCATCAACATTAACAAAAAGTAAAAAAATACAAATAAAACTAAGAAGTGTAACTTAAGACACATACTTAGAAGAAAATATGGTAAATACAATGAAACTGTGACCTAGTCATGGAAAAAATGCATAGAGCTGAAGCACCCTCTCCATCAGTATTGATTGATGGGATTGACTGATTGGTTGATTGGTTGATTTAGAGACAGGGTCTTGCTCTGTCACCCAGGCTGGAGTACAGTGGTGCAACCATATCTCACTGCAGAGACACAGTTTCACTATGTTGCCCAAGGTGATCTTGAGTTCCTAACTTCAAGACATCCTTCCCACCTTGCTGGGATTACAAGTATGAGCTACCATATCCAGCTCTGAAAAAGTTTATTTTTTAAAAAGCAAGAGGACAATGAAAAGATCAATAAAGTGATAATTCCAACCACTAAACTAACAACAAGTAACATTTATTAAGGGTTTTTATATCTTAAGTGCTATTCTAAGTACTATCCATCTTTTATGTTATTTGATTTTCCAGCAACTAAGTATTAAAGTATTATGCCCATTTACAGTTGAGGGCCTGAAACTTTAAGAAGTTTCCTGAACTGGCCAGAGTCAAACAGCTCGTAAGAAGCAGACCATATATTCAAATATGTACATATAGTCTGACCCCAGAAGCTACATACTTATTTACTGCTAGTCGACAGTTTCTCTTTTCATTTGGGTACTTGGTATACATTTTTAATACCTTAAAAAGGTACTTTATTCAGCATTTTCATTAGTTTGTAGGAAGAAGAGATATCAAGAGTGTTCATTATTCCTTCTTGAACAAAAATCTTGACCTGCCTCCTTGAAAAATGAGTAGAGATGGCCAGAAAGTCGAAAGAGAAAAAAATTATAACTACGAGGGGTGGGAAAATAATGTAGGAACCAACAAGTAGTTTGAATAGATGCAGAACGACATGTGTAAGGACAAAGATATGGAGAAAGTATTGAAGCTCTAGGCAAGGTGTTCCCAACTGGTCAAAAACTATATTATGAAGTAATGAAGTGCAAGAAAGGACATAGTAAAAATCCAAACAGATATGATTAGAAAACAATCCTTTGGAGACACCAGGTGCAGTGGCTCATGCCTATAATCCCAGCACTTTGGGAGGCCAAGGCAGGAGGGCTGCTTGACCCCAGGAGTTCAAGACCAGCCTGAGCAACAAAGCAAGACCTTGTCTCTGTACAAATAAAAATAAAAATTAGCTGGGCATGACAGCACACACATGTATTCCCAGCTACTCGAGAGGTTGAAATGGAAGGATTGCCTGAGCCCAGGAGGTCAAGACTGTGGTGAGCCGTAACTGTGCCACTGGCCACATGCCTGGGCAACACAGTGAGACCCAGATTCAAAAAAAAAAAAAGAAAAAAAGAAAAGAGATTGACCAGCAAGAAAAGACAGGACAATTTCAGAAATAAAAAAAGAAAAAGGGTATAGTCTATGAAAAATCTGTCCTTAGAAATAACAAGCAGGATTTGAAATAAATATATAACTATATTTAATATATCTCCAAAAATATATATTTTATGTAATATACACAAATGCTATGAATACCTTTATATCAATATATTTGAAATAGAATTGATATAGATGAAGTAGAACTTATAAAATTACATTAATTATAAAAGCTGACTAAAGGCGAAAAACAAAACCTTTCTATTTTTACTAATAGCATGCTAAGATAATTTGAGGCGCCTAACAGTGGAAATACAAAGTTCCACTAAATGTTATTTTTAAATCACCTTAAGAGTACAGATAAGGGGAAACTTCCTGGTCAATATTTGTGGCTAGATAAAAAGATTAGTAAAACACCCAAAGCAGATTTTGCTCTGAGAGTTTGCGGCAGTAACAAACACCTGGGCTTTGCTTCCAAAGTCTGCAAGGACATGGAGGATAATCAAGGTCTAGGATATATCCAAGAATTTAAATGTAAAGCTTTGGAGACCCTTCTCACCTTAAACTTCACACATGGAAGAAAAACTGAAAAACCTTTTTATGAAAAGAGAGGACAAACTAAACATGAGCACATTAGTGAAAAGCTGATGCAGAGATGGTGCCAAAAGACTGGCTATGGATGGGCCCTCTACTACAGTGTCCCCATTTGTGCCTTTAAGGACAAATACAACTTATTTTATTTTTTTTCAGTTGGAGTCTCACTCTGTCGCCCAGACTGGAGTGCAGTGGCCGCTCCCGGTCACCGCAGACTCGACCTGCTGGGCTCCGGCGATCCTTCCGCCTCAGCCTTCAAAGTAGCCGGAATTATAGGCATGCACTACCACGCCCGGCTGATTTTACAACTTGTTTTTTAACCTAAATCATGCAGACAGCCTTCCATGAAGAATCTGTCCTTAGAAATAACCTTCAATCTATCTTTCCTTCTTGATTTTCAGCGTTAACTTTCCCAAATTCAATACTTTGAGAGGATGATGATCAGGTTAAAAATGGTTGCAAATTATTTGCCACTCCTCCCATACAAAAGTTTCTCTGTTCCTTCTCTATCCCCTTGAATCTGGGATGGGCCTGTTTCAGTTTTGTCTGGTAGAACAGTAGAAGTGGCACCATATTGGCTCCAGGCTAACAGGACTCCAGACTAAGAGTACTGGCAGCTTCTATTTCTCTCCCTTAGAACCTGGATACCATGCTATGAAGTAGCCACCTGGAAGGGCCCATGTGGAGAACTGGAGTCCCTGGACAACAAGGTTAATCTCTAAGAACAGTTTATATGAATTCATATTTCAAGTTGTTTTCCTGATAATTTCAAGTAAGCCAAAATTGAGCACTAGATCATTATTGTTATTACCCGATAACAGGACTAAAAAAAGGCTTGGAGAAAGTGTTGTTTTGCATGTTTTCAAATTTTTAGTACCATCTTCAATCCTTAGTTTTCTTCCCAGAAATTTTCAAACTACATGTCTATTTTGTGAGGATTACACTAGTTGTGAGGATTGCACTAGACCATATAATCTGTAAACTCAAAGAACCCTACACATACAAACTGTAATAAGTCAGAGTAGACGGAAAAGAAACAAGTGAGAGACCCAGGATAAAACTCCACCTCATCACTCAGTATACCAACAGAACTACATGTCAGTGTTGGTTAAGTATTTTGCTGCCCTCCCCTTAAATAAATTTTGAAAAATCTTATAGTTTTTTCCATATTTCATGTTGACATGTAAAGCTTTTGTTGTAAGTTTAAATAGTTATAAAAAATACAATGCCCAGCATATTGTAAACACTGATAGTTACAAATAAAATATTACATCACTCTTCATAAAGTATCCTTTGTCATCTATACACTATAATAATGATACCTACTCCCCACCATTTTAAAAAAAGATATTAAAAACTCTTATATGAAGTTTACAAATTTTACATTTTCTTTTACTCTGTGAACTTTTTATTCTATTTCTTCCACGCAAATCTCATCTGTATAAGTTTTTTAGTGCTTAGAATGCATTTTTATGCTTAAAAATCCTGATGACCCTATCATAAATACGTACAATAAAAATATACACATAAATTAAACGTAATTGTTTTATTTCTTGTGACCAAAATGAGAAATGAAAAAACTTTTTTACATTGAGTTATAATTTTTATTTGTACATAACCAGTATAAAAAGAAAACATAATTTTGATAATTATTAAACAAGAAAGTAAAAATTTACTAATGAATCTCATAAAGAGATGAATCATGCACTTAATTAGATAAAAGTATCCTATCAAAACAATTAGTCTAGCAGCTCACATTTTATGTTTTGTTAAAAGAATATAAGAAACATTAATAAGGTGTAGGTTGACTATAATTAATATAATTTACAAAACAACTTTAACTATTTCATTAATACACTCCAAGTAAAGAAATCATATTAAGTGTTATCCCTAAATTTTATCCAATGTATCTTAAAACATTTTCATTAGGCTTTTAAAATTCAGTGCCTCTAGCTTCTATTGCTTCAACTGGTTTGAGCGTACTTTTCTTTCCAGTTACTAATGATAAGCATGAGAACAGGTGAAAAAGCTGCTTATGTTTAAATAAATAGAAAAAAGTATTCAAATGTTCAAAACACATACAGATGCTTTCTTTATTCTCTTATGGAACGCTCCATCAAATATAAGCACTCCTTGGCAAAAGTGGGGGTAAGGAAGTAGAAAATTCTTCAAATGAAAATTTCTTATTTTCACTACCCCACTCAATATATGAATTCAGAGGATGCCAACAGGAGTAAAAATTCTGTACCACATTTCCAACAGCAAGCTTCAACCAAATGAAAATATGCAGACCGTAGGATAATTCTTAAGGCTTCACAGGTTTATTCCATCTTGACTAGTCTTTGAAGGAAGCTTTCACTCCCTAAGGCATAGTAAACTTCTCTAGTAAATTTTAGGACTGACGAGGAATAGACATTATAAAGTGGAAGACGCCAAAAAGAATTCAGGCAAGTTTTCAAGCAAACCAATTTTTAGGAACAAGTATGTGAAGATGCTGAAGGCCTGGAAATGTACTACCTTAACAATAACAAAATTCCCATATACTCCCAGGGGTAGGGGTAACTCCTATGAAGACCACAACTATATTACAATGCCAAGTTCTACGTTAAAATTAGTAAAACACAAGCTCTCTTTTTAAGTAAAAAGAAGTAGAAATAAAAACAAACAATATATGATCTACCCACACCCCAATGGATCATCCTGCACGCCCACTCCGTTCAAACAAAGTGTGCTCACCCCACTTCGGAGACCACATCAATACTCAAAGTTTGAGTCTTTTTCTAAAAAGAAAGGGCTAGCCACCAGGATACTACTACAATCGCAACTTAAGACTCTCAAAGGTGACGTAAGACAAACAGATACAGAAGAGTATCCCTCTAGCTAGGGGGATAAAACGTCTAGAACAGATTGTTCTACAATAACAGCAAAGATTGGGAAATATTTAGAGTATTCATAAACGACTTAAAGAACTAACTAGACGTGGCCAGAAAATTCAGAAAAAGGATCTAGCAAAACTGAGTCAGGAGGGGGGTGGACCACAAAAGATTACCGGAACAAGAAAAGAGTGGTTGTTCCTGCAATCCGGGGGAAAAAAAAATTTTTTTTTTGCAACACACCCCACTTCCTCGGTTCCACAAGGTCGCTCCGCAGGCTCCGGAACACCTGCGGCTTCACGTTCAGCCCGGGTGCGCTCGGCCCCGCCCCGTCGCGGCTGCGACACCCAGCGAAGTGCCGGCGCCGCAAGTACCAGACGCCGACGGAGTAAGCAAGAGCCAAAGGCGGACCTGGCACGTTGGCACCGCCCTCGGGCCGCCACTCTCCGCTCGGACGAAGGCCGCGGTGACGCGCCAAGACTCACCCCTCCTCCGTATCCCGGGTAGGCCATGACGAGCGGAGCAAGCGTCACCTTACAGTCAGCGTCCGCCCAGCTGGGAGAAAACACAGGTGCAAATGAACCTGAAAGCCGCACTAAAGGCGCTCGTCACGCTTCCGAACCCGCCCCTCCCACAGACCAGCCCCTCCGCTCCCGGTTCCGATTGGCTGAGTCCCATCCTTCGGAGCCAACCCTGCTGCGGCCCGCCCCTTTCCAGAGGCTAGCCTCGCCCTCCTCTGCTCTGATTGGTTACGCCCGGTCTGGCGCCCCGCCTGTCCCTGCTCGGCCTTTATTCGCTGGCTCAAGTTCTCGGGCGCCCTCCTCCCAAACCCTCAAGAAACCTTTACAGCTTTAATTTGCCGTCCCCCGTGGAAAGGTTTTCCAGGCCCACTCAAGTTTCTTTTCTCCCCTAGAAACTCCAAACCGGCCAGTAGTATCTTCTGAGCTAGATTTCAAATACACATCTCTGAATTTCAAAATTTACAGTTACTCACATTTACCTTTTTCTGTGTACTGTTGATGTCACATCAGAGTTTTGAATCTGCAGTCACACCTGTGCCCCAAGGAGAGCACTTCTGCACTGAAGCACACAGGTCGCCAGATTTGATGAAAAGGTGGGCTGTTTGGGAGATAAATCGTGACCTGAACTGTCAGGTTTAGCAAATAAAAATACAGGATGTCTGGTGCAATTTGATTTTCAAATAATCACTTTTTTAAAAAAGTATGTCCCAAATATTGCACGGGACCATGCACTTATACTAAAAAATTATTTGCTGTTCATAAGCTAATATACTGTTATTTGTTAGAAGTGTGCTTATTGGCTGGGCACGGTGGTTTATGCCTATAATCCCAGCACTTTGGGAGCCAAGGTGAGAGGATTGCTTGAAACCAGGGGTTTGAGACCAGCCTGGGCAACTTGGCGAGCCCTCATCTCTACAATATAAAAAAAAAATTAGCCGAGTATGGTGGCACATGCCTATAGTTCCAGCTACTTGGAAGGCTGAGGCAGAAGGGTTACCTGAGCCCAACAGGTCAAGGCTGCTGGGGCCGTGAGTGTCCCACTGCACTTCAGCCTGGATGACAGAGTGAGACTCCAACTCAAAAAATAATACAGACGGTGTGTTGTACATTATCTGACAGTTCAACCTTTAAGACATACTTCCTAATTATATAACCAAGAGTAACAACTTGGTTTTTCTCATTTGATGAAAATTTAAATGTTCAATTACTTTGGCTTATTAAGTAATAGCAACTGACAAATCTGCCTTCCTCTGGAACTCAAATGAATTTCGTAGCTCTGGCTTTAAAAGAACGGGATAGCTGTAGCTTTAGCTTAAAAACAGTGAAACAAAAAGTTTGGGATGATATTATTTTGAGTTATCTCTGAAGAACAAGGGAATAGCAACCATGTTTCTTTTAAAAACTGTCAAAAAGGTGTTAACGATTAGCAGAAGAGGACAGAGCTATGTAACTATTGCTCAGCTACACCACGGAGGAGGAAGAGGAACATGTTAGACCTTGTGAAACATAATTTTATGATAAGAGGCAGAGAGAAAGGAAGATTGCTAATGTAGAAGCTACTCTTAAGAAAGTGTCTGTTATTTCCTTTAATACAATAAGAACTACTTTAGCCAGTAAGGTTAAATTATTGGCATAAATAAACAAATAGAGGCAAATGGTAAAACCTACTTGATAATAGGAAAGAATGTATATATGGCTTGTGATGGTATCAAGTGATAAAGCACCAGAAAGTGGAACAAATCATTGCAAAGTTTAATTCCAACGTATTAACTACATGTTTAAAGAAATGTTAGTTTAACTCAGTGATTAAAACTTCTGTGAAGCCGGGCTCAGTGGCTAACCTGTAATCCTGTGCTTTGGGAGGCCGAGGTGAGTGAATTGCCTGAGTCCACGGGTTCGAGACCTGCCTGGGCAGCTTGGTGAGACCTCATCTCTACAATAAATCAAAAAATTAGCCGGGCATGGTAGCGCGCGCCTGTAGTTCCAGCTACTAGAAGGCTGAGGCAGAAGGATCGCCGGAGCCCAGCAGGTCGAGGCTGTGGTGGCCAGGAGCGGCCACTGCACTCCAATCTGGGCAACTGAGTGAGACTCCAACTCAAAAAAAAAAAAACTTTTGTGCATCTTCTTTTCATCAAAAGCCTTACTGATGCAATTGCATTTGCCTATGTTGTTGGTAGTCAAATCTCCATGGGGCCCTTGTTTTTCTGCACATCTAATTTCAAAGATAGTATTTCTGTCCAAAGAAAAGTTTGGGTAGGTTTCCTAGCAGCCCTTTTTTAAAAAAATAGACCTTTCCTAACCTGGAGTTCCTCCAATCTGATAATAAACCCTACTGTATGTGCAGCATCCACTTGGTAATCCATCGTGTGGGACTTCAGAGGGGAAATGATGGGAGTATAAAGCTCATGCTGACACTTGTGCTTTGAGTAATAAAATTATTGTCTCTGACTCAGGAATCTCAGCCTTCTACCAACTTCTATGAAACTGTTGCAGGCCTACTTGTTAGCTTATATCAGATCCTTCCCAGTTCCTGACAATGAATCTCTTTCTTAGAGAAAGGACTACCCAATAAAATTCCAACCATGAAGATAGAGAGAAGACTTTGAACAACAGTCTGCAGCATCTCTCTCCCTAAAACTAGAGTTCCAAATTATAAATTTTCTAGTATGAAAATTCAAACGAGTCCACAGATTTTTTAAAATAATAATTATGATGATAATTCTCCATTATTCAGTTCATTTTGTATAAACAATAGCAGTTTATGAAAATGTAATGTATAAAAATCTATTTAAATCCCACATTTTTCTTTTAATAAAATGTTTCATTATTCTATAAGAATAGCAATTTATATAGAATGAATACAATGTATTAATAACAGGCACTGTGTGTTGTGAGGTTTTATTTCTCAAAACAGTCCTATTGGGTAGATATTGTTATTACTATTTTCATTTTACAATTATAAAAAGTAATGTGGAGAACTGTATTTCACTTATCCACATTTGCATAGTTAGTTGCAAAACTGAGACTAGAACTCAGGCAGTTTAGTTATAGAATGTGGACTCAGTGCATTTCCAAATATAATAGAATTATTTATACTATAAAGGGAAAGGATTTAAAAAGTTTTTAAATGGCAGTAGGAAAAAATAGCAAGAGAAACAGCCAAGCAAATACATTGCTTTGAGCAAGATTAGCCAATTGAATTATCTTACACAGTATACAAGCATTCTGATGACCATAAAGCTCACATGATTTATACTACCTATGAAATTTATTCCAAATCTTGGTATCCTTTGGTCCTGTCGTGAGTTTAGATGTCAATTAAACAGCATATTTAATAGAACAGCATAAACAATAAATTAATTCTAGTTCCCTTTCCTATCTGCTGCCACCTCATTTTCTCTTTCCCACTATGTGAATGGTGTAGGGATACTCCATGAGAGACAAGAGTACAGAACTTACTGTTCCTCAGCAAACTTCAGTGACAGAGCTAGAGCCTGCCTCTCTCATATAACTCATTTATATCCTCAATACGATAATAAAGCTATGTCAGTATGCCAACCAACATAAATGGAGTTTACTTTATATCACTCAGAAATTTCATTTAGATAGAATAATTCATCTGTTTGATAATTATTTATTGAACATACATTTTGTTACCCTATTTTAGCTGGGGAAAAAATACATCAATGGGGGTGCAGAATGTCCTTGCCCTTGTGGCACTCACATTCTAGCAGGGAGGACGGACAATAGCAAATAAAGATTATGAATAAGTAAATTACATAACATATGAGATAAGTACTATTGAAAAATAACAAACACTAAAGCAAAGTTAAGGATAGGGCAATAACAGTGTAGGTTGCAGTTCTAAACATGGTGCTTAGGGTAGCCTCATTGAGAAGGTGAGGTGTCAGCAAAGACTTAGAGGACATGAATGAGTTAGACAGGAGATATCTGGTTCTAAGAACTAGAGATAATTTCCTAAGTCAGAAGACCTCCTGACCTGTTTGAATAACAGCAAGAAGGCTAGTGGGATCCAGAGGGAAGGTAGCAGGCAAATTGGGGCAGACCATGCAGGGTCTTACAGACCATTGTAAGGACTTTCTTTTGTACCCTGGAAGATACAGGGAGCCACTGAAGAGGTTGAAGCCTATGTGGGACACGAGATGACTTAGAAAGGGGAACTCTTTCTTTTTTTTTTTTTTTTTGAGTTGGAGTCTCACTCTGTCACCCAGACTAGAGTGCAGTGGCCGCTCCCGGCCACTGCAGCCTCAACCTGCTGGGCTCCGGCGATCCTTCCACCTCAGCCTTCTAAGTGGCCGGAATTACAGGCATGCGCTACCACGCCCGGCTGATTTTTTGATTTATTGTAGAGATGAGGTCTCGCTGCCCAGGCAGGTCTCAAACCCACAGGCTCAGGCAATCCACTCACCACAGCCTCCCAAAGGTGCAGGATTATAGGCTGAGCCACCGAGCCCGGCTTGAAAGGGGAACTCTTTCATCTGTGTTGATAATAGATGGAAAGGGGTTAATATAGAAGCAAAGATATCTGTTAGCAATCTGTTAGTAATCTAGAAATGATTTTGTTTTACTAGATTTTAGCAGTTGAGATGGTGAGAAGCGGTGGAATTATTGTTCTGTTTTTAAGGTATAGCCAGTGAGAAGTATGAGTGTTTTGGATTTGCTCTTTAGTGACATGGTAACGACTGGAGGAGGAGTTGTTTGGGATAGTGCCAAGTCCAGCATCAATATTAGACATGTTAACTTTGAGACACCTGTGAGATTAAGTGACTATGTCAAGTAAATTGTTGATCTAAGAGGTTGCTTAGAGCGAACAGCTTAGCGGTGAGGGTACCTACCAAACACCCAGCATCCACATCTTAACAGACCTTGTTATTCTCCACCTGATACATATACTGTAACTGTTGAGAAGAGGCAAATAACTTATTTTAGCGAGGGATATGGGGGGGAGAGTATTTTACCAAAATTGCCCTAAAATAATAAGTAATTGCTAATGCTGGTAATAAAAATGAAAGGGCCCAAGACATTAATGTCACTTTGGCATCACTG